GTCAATATATGCTAAAGACTTTTGAACAGTCACGTGAAAGATCAAAGATACCATCCTCATTTCCTGTTCTAGCTGATACCATATTGCTATGCAAGATATGCATTTCAGAAATGTCCAACAGCTTGACTGATTGAAACCATTTAATAAGGCTACTTAGTTTGTATGTGAAACACTGCAAAATACAGGAAGAATAGAGGTACGTTAAGTAGATTGCATGCAATTTTATATAGATACATGAAGTTGGATACTATCAGAGCTATTCTGAGCACTTACTTTTATAGGCAGTGCTCCAGCAACAAACGCTCTTCCGTATATCTTTGTCACTGTGCCACGTTCTGTTAAGTTTATTGGGCTCAACTCTTTGACTGGTGCCATCTGGATTACAACTTCACCACCTCCCTGCGGATAGTAGCCCCTATTTAGAAAGAGTCATCAGATATAATTAAAGTGATCTTTATCACAAGGAAACCAAGAAAAAGGAAGGCTCTTCATGTATTTCATCATACATTTTTATGTTCTCTGTTACTATACATATGAATTTACCTGATGTGCCTTAGAAATCTTTATAATAGAATTACATTCTCTGACAGTATTACCTCATAACACACATCTTAACTACCTAACGCCAACATAATTGGCATTGCCATACAGTAATGTACTGCCTGTTCAGCACGCACTTGCCTTAGGGGTAGACCACAGGAAACAATAAACAGCAGCTGAAGTCTCAGCAATGAAAAAACGTCAGGGAAGAACCATGCCACATTTATCACATGGTGACAGTGCATCCAGGGGCATCTAATGCAGATCAGTTATATATTATAAAATCATCCCTCAGCTTGATGGAGGGCACCTTGTGTGTGTGCCTCTGTGCTCACAAACTCGTTCAGCAAGACCTGCCACTGCCACATGTCTCCATAACTCACCTCTTCTTTATGTCGCAATTAAAGGTGAAATTGAACTTTTCAACCACTGGCTTGAAAACCTGAAAACCAAGCAGATATAAAACCACAGAGTGAATCTGTTTTGCATTTGTAATTCCCCACTGTTTTATGCAGTCTTTCAAAAAAAAAAAAAAAAAAAAAAAAGAAGAAAAAATTTAACACAAAAATTTCAGTTACATTATAAAAATAAAGAGAGCCAGTGTCATCCATGCAGCTAATCTGACATTCTTCACACTTCATTCTGAATGATACCTTGTGTAAAAGTATTTTCTTATGGAAAGAGGAAAAGAAGTTCTTAACAATTCATTGCACTTCTAGAACAAAGAATGTATTTTAAATGAAGTTTTCCTTAGTAACTGAAAGCAAACGGACTAGTTAAAAGCAAAAGCTAGGGAATCCCATGAAACACTGGCTGCTCTCTACATGAAGTACACTAATACTGTTACATTCCCATGACTAATTCCATAGTTACAAATAAACTTGCAGTAAGAGGAACAGAAGTACAGTAGTTACATTTATATATATGCATGAAAGATGCACCAAGCCAAAGAAACTTTTCCCTACCATGACTGTGTAGTCTATCTGAGGAGCCATCTCAGCATTAGTCCCACCTTTTAAATGAAGTTCTGATGGAGAAGCAGCAAACAGCACACAGGGCATTGCTACCTGCATCAGGAGACACACACTCCTAAAAAGAATCACAGGACAGTTAAATGTTGTGCAGTCATCCTCCATACAATTCCACAGAATATCAAAGGTGAAGGATTTTCCAGAGCCTTTACGTATTTGATTTTCAACATTATCTACAAGCTTGGTCTCAAAAAACAGTAATTTAAAACCTCATGTCCTTAGCAAGCCTAAATATGGAGGGTTTTGTTTCATAATAATTGTGTCTTTAATACTCCTGTCTGAATAAAAGTCATGCAGCTTACTTAGTGATGGGACTGTGAGAAAAATAGGCTTACCTAGCAGACTGCAAAACCAGGAAAGGCTTAGGCAGCAATTTTAACGTTGTAATACTTATTTAATAGTAAAATATTTAGAGAACTACAAAATTGTTTAGAAGCTGGTCATGCTTCTGCAAAGAAAATCCAGGGGTATAGAAAATCTGCTTTTAGATACAAGACTCGCCTGCCATTGAATCTCTTCACACTGCATAGATAAAAAACTTCCAAAAGGAATTTTCCCAAAGGAATTCTGTTCAGCAAAACCAAACAATTATCTCACAGGGGTTTCAAACGTGAGTTTGAATTGTGAAAACAGTAATCACCACTGAACTGAAGAAAACATGGCTTTGTTTCCTTAAGTACCTTCTGAATGTTTATGAACTCTACTGTTTCCTTTTGTTTCTTTTTCCTTCTTCTTGTGTTTAATTACACATTCTGCTGCACTGTTTTTACTTTCTGTGCTAAGTACAAGGCATCATCTTGGTTGCTTATACAATTGCAGCTCAGAAAAATATTTCTCTTAACTTAAAGGGAACTTTAATGTATGCCTAACCTGGCTTATGCTTCCAAACAACTGTTCACTTGCAACAGATTCCAAGAACAAAGAGCCCAATATTGTAATAGAGGAGAAATACAAGCACAAAGAACCATGGATAGAATATGTTTCCAGTTCCCTAGTATTCCATATCATATCACTATGTGTAAGTAAAACTCCAACATTTACTTTATTGTACAGTGATTATTTCAGATCTCAAGGATTTGAGATATTTATCTAATTTGCTGCATTTGACCTGATGTGAGAAAATAACAGGTAAAGTTTTAAATACATCGGTAGGTGTTTGTTGCTTAACATTTAAGTGTTCAATTTACATATCAATTGTAATTCTAAAGCTATTACACGTGTATGTACTTTATTCATATGTATCCTGCCTATACTAGAGGTTCCTCGGTCTCATGCATGTGGCTCAGGCAGCACAGATTTTGGCTCAGTACCCATGTATTAAAGTTGGGATTTTTTCCCCCCTGCTCTTTTGTGACAATTTTAAAGTTACCAAATGTCTTCTGTCATATTTTTAGAGTTACCAAAAGCAGGGAAGAGCAGTCACTGGTCAGCATTATCCACGTACAAAGACATACCCTGCTGTTTTTGTATCTGCGATGTGTGTTCCACCTTTGATCTTCCCAGGAGTGAAGGTTATTTCTGTTGAGCCAATTTCTCCGCCTTCCAGCTTCCCATCACATAGGTCTCGGATGATCTCCAATCCAGACAGATGCTGAGGCCTTGGAGTGACAATACAAAGTTAAAGATACATGCAAGAAGATTATATACGCACGTGGCATTAAAAGAACTACTAAAGAAGTAATAAACACTACAGGTCCAAATTTCAGATCAAACAAGGATCAGAAATTTGATCTGGTTCCTAGAATACTTTTGAGTTCACAAGAGCCAAAGGAGCAGCATTAGAATCATAGAATCAGTGTGGGGCTGGAAAAGCCCTTTCAGCTCATCCAGTCCAACCGTTCCCCAGCACTGCCAAGGCTACCACTAACCCATGACACTGAGGCCTCATCTCCACAGTGTGTGAACACTTGCAGGGACGGTGACTCCAGCACTGCCCTGGGCAGCCTGTTCCAATGCCTGAGCACCCTCTGGGGAAGCAATCGTTCCTCAGCTCCATCTAAACCTGCCCTGGTGCAGCTTGAGGCCGTTTCCTCTTGTCCCATCCCTTGTTCCTTGGGAGCAGAGCCCAGCCCCTCCTGGCTCCATCCTCCTGTCAGGCACTTGTAGGGAGCGATCAGGTCCCCTCTGAGCCTTCTCTTCCCCAGACTGAACCCTCCAGGTCCCTCAGCTGTTCCCCATCACACCTGTGCTCCAGGCCCTGCAGCAGTTCCATTGCCTTTCTCTGGCCCCGCTCCAGCACCTCAATGTCTCTCTTGTAGTGAGGGGCTCAGAGCTGAACACAGGATTCAAGGTGCAGCATCACCAGTGCTTGGGCAAAATGCAGTGGGTATCTATGGCAATACTGAACGGGAGCCCAGCCAGTAGCTGCTGCCAGAACCACAACAGAGCCAACAGTTTGGCTACCTGTCTTGCTGTACTTGCATTTCCATTTGTTTCATCTAACTTGAATAGGAAAATAAACCTAACTGTTCTTAACATCATCCACTCTGTGAACCACGTTTTGCTGAGGCATTGCATGCCCTCAGCTGTATTTCATGGCTCATCCTGTGCACTCTGCTTAGCACCTTTGAAACTACTTCGGAGACGCTCGGGGCTAAGGGCTCGAACGCTCTTGCCGGGAATGTCCAGTTCACTCCCGAGCCTTTCTTCACGTTCGGTCCTCCCATGTAAGAGTCACAGCGGGTTTCCCGACCCTTCTCAAGGCAGGGGGAACACACGCGGTTCGTTCTTGGAAGCACTTCAATCAAAAGCCAGGCCCAGGAAGGCCTCACACGCGGGAAGGGCCATTACCTGAGGCCGGGCTGGCTCCGCCCGGCGCGGATCCGGCGCACCCGCAGCGGCAGGCCCAGCAGGCAGCTCAGCGCCGTGGACACTCGCAAGATCTGCCCGCCCTGCACGGAGAAACGGCTCGTCAGGCGCTGTGGCACTGCGCACCCGGCCGGCCGGCCGCTGCCCGGGGTGCGATAAGGCAAGGCGAGGCGAGGCCAGCCCGAGTCCGCCGCCGGTGCTCACCCCCTCCATGATCCCGCCGTCAACCTCCACCCTGTCCCCGTCCATGGCCGGAGGTGAGCGGAGCGCTCTCTCGCAGAGGCCCTTGCCGCGCCGGCGGGATCCCAGCGGGGTCCTGCAGACGGCGAGCCCCCGGCGGAACAGCCCCGCTATGCCACGGAAAACCCCACGATGCGCTGCCGAGGCCGCTGCCGGGGCCGCTGCTTGGAGCAGGCGCAGAACGCAGACACCACCCCGCCCGCCGTGGGCTGTCAGCAGCGGTTCCGCTGCGTGAGGAGCAGCCGCCGGGTCCCAGCGCCGGAGGCAGCCGCGTAGCGGGGTGGGGTGGCGTGGGAAAACCAACCACGTCCCGCCTAAGGGCCCCGGCGGGAGCGGTGTCTTTTCTCCGCCCCGCGCTCCGGCCCCGCCGCCGCCCCCCGCCTGGTTGGCTGCGGCTGTCGCGGCCGGTGCCGGTTGGCCGGTCGGTGGGAGGTGTGCGGTGCGGGTGGGCTGCGCTGGCCGGAGCAAGATGGCGGCGCTGAGCGCTGTGAGGAGCAGCGGCCGAGCTGCGCGGCGCCTGGTAAGGGGAGCGGGGGTCCCTGCGCTCCCGGAGGGGGGGACAGCGCGCCGCATCGCTGCCTCGGCGGCGGAACCCGAGGGTCCCGTTGTTTGCTTCCAGCCGGGAGCGGGCAGGGACCCTGGGAGCAAACATGACACGTTCGCGGGTTCGCCGCCTCCCCTCAGCCCTCCCGTGTGCCCTCCGCCCGCCTCGGCAGGTGACGGTGCGGCCCGCAGCCGGTCCACGGTGCACAGGTGACGGGACGCGGCCGCCCCGGAGTGTCCCTGGCTCCGAGGGAGCCCTGGACACCTTCCTCCGCCGCGCAGAGCACCCTCAGGGTCCTCCCCATGGCCCGTGCTTGCTGTGACAGAAGCGTGTGCCTCCTGCAGTAAGCCGCCGACAGCCAACCTTCTGTTATTTCTTAGTCATCCGATTGCGCTGCCTGAACGTTACACTGCCATCGCGCCTCCTCTGCCCCTTGACATACCGCATCTGCACAGAGGCGGTGTAGTTTACACACACAGCGTCATAGAATCATAGAGTAACAGGTTGGAAGGGACCTGAAGGATTATCTAGGCAACACATGACCTGGACTAGATGTCAAAGCACCTTGTCCAGCATCATCCTATCAGAGTTGCACGATTTCATATGGGCATCTGGCTAAACATTGCAAAAAGAAAAGCGGTAACATTAGGCTGGACTTTGGGAATTCACAGCACAGTAACTTTTTCGGCTGCCCTAGTACAAAGCATACGAATAGGGAAGATGAAGTAAGGGGAAATTTATTCCTCTGAATCCCAGAAGCCTTGACATGACACCTTACCATACTTCAAGAAGTGAATCTTGACAGTGGGTTGGACTAGATGATCTCCAGAGGTCCCTTCCAACCCCAGTGATTCTGTGATTCTGTAATCTATCTAGTTGCCTTTTAGGACGCTTACAATCTCACACTCATACACCACCACAGAGACTTATCTCATGCTTTCTTCTGCTTTCTTGTATTATAGTCTTGTTCCCATAGTGAAGAGTGTTGGTTTCCAATTATGTCACTGATGTTTCGTGGAATGTCAGGAAAACAAGCATCTTTTAATAATAATAATCCAAGTGAAAACAAGGGGCAAGGCAGTTCTCCCCCAGTTAGCATACATCTCCCATGTTGTCTTGGTTCAAACCGCAAGCTTTACTCAACCAGATACCAGAGGCTGAGGTGTCCTCAGTGAGAGGGTGGAGGGGGCTCTCGGTTTCTTCTCACCACAGTAACTCCACACGTTGAAGACTGGCATAGGAAAGGTGCTATTTACTGTGACATTGTTGCCTTTAAATTGTTATATAGTGTAATAGTGGTGACGTAAACATAGCTTCCATGTGCTTGTTGGGGTTTTATTGCTATATTTTTCCAGACATTAAGAGATGTGGATGGATATGCTGTGGATATTAGAACTAATTTTGCCTTTATATGCTTTTGTTATTTTCTTATTCAGCATTACAGTGTCCTGAGTTCAGCAGTAGCAGTCATTTTTCTTCTTCTTAGTAGCTGATGCAGTGCTGTGGTTTTGACTTTCAGCCTGGGAACAACGCTGATAACACTGATGTTTTTAGTTATTGCTCATTAATGTTTACACTGCCCAAGGACTTTATCAGTCTCATGCTCTGCCAGGGAGGAGGGGACACTGGGAGGAAGCAGAGACAGGACACCTGACCCAAACTAGCCAAAAGGGTATTCCATACCACAGCACATCACGGCCAGTGTATAAACTGTAGAGAGTTACCCAAAAGATCCAGATCACTGCTCGTGTCGGGCTGGGTACCGGTGGGCAGGTGGTGATCAGTTGTATTCTCCTCCCTTGTTATTTGCCTCATTATTATTGGTGGCAGCAGCAGTGGTTTGTGTTATACCTTAGTTACTGGACTGTTCTTATCTCAACCCATGGGAGTTACATCCTTTCTGTTCTCCTCCCCATCCCTCCAGGAGCAGGGGGAGGAAGAAGGGGGGAGTGAGTGAGAGGCTGCGTGGTTCTGAATTACCGGCTGGGCTTAAACCACGACAGTCAAAAAATAGCATTATGATGATTAAATACTGAAATTAATAAGTGCAACCTCTTTATTTAATGGCTTTTAATTTTCCCTTTGTTAGAAAAGAACACTGTTCTGTGAAGAGATTGGGTGCTGTATTACTGCTTTCACATACTAGCACACCAACTTTATAGTAGAGAATGTGCAAAAACTCAAATCAATGCAGTGATTTTGGATTATTCCTACAGTATTGAAACTCTTCTGTAACAAAACCAGTTTGGTTTTTTTTTGCAGTGGTATTACTAGTTCACTACCTGCATTGGTTACCAAATGTTAAAAACACATGGGAAGCATTATGAAACTTCACATTTAGAAATAGTTTTACAGATCTGATGTGCTCCTTGTGATCATCTTCTCAGGTAAATATTGAATGTTTTCCATGTAGGGTCATATAAAGAGAAACGAGCCTTATTGTGTATCTGGACAAAAAGAAAAAGTAGCCATGGACTGAAGTGAGAAGAAATACAGAATTAAAAACAGGAGAAGATAGGTTTGTGAAGATGTACATTATATACCAGTGTTGTAACTGAGAATTTTAAATGTGTTCCTAAAATAAGACTTGTCAGTCCTGTCGTTTACCTGATTTTTTAAAAGTGAAGATTCTTTGGAGAACTAATAAAAATGATTTACTGTTTGCTTATTACAGGAATGAGAAAAATACTCATTGTAGATCAGTAGATACAGTCTTTAGATTGTGTCTAGATCAACAGATACAAGTAACAGGCAGCTGAAAAGTAACTTGGTATAACTTCATTGTGTCCTCTATTGTCTTGTATAAACATTTGTTCCTGAAAGAAAGGGGATATTAAATATAACTTGCAATGCTAGACTAAATAACACAAAAATATGTACATTGTCACTTCAGAATGGTTCCGTTTTCTGAATACTCTACTTTTTAAAAGTGTAATATAAATTTAAGTAGTTGAGCGATGTGGGATGTGGGGAGGGAAATCAGAAAGTCTCATTTGCTCTGTAATAACTGGAATGATTTTTAAGTTGAAACAAACTCTCCCATGCAGGTGTGCTGTTTTCTGGCTCCTCTCAGAAGATAATTTCTAAATTTTACAGTTTTGAGGTACATTATAGCACCTGAATTTTTTTTCATATCTCTAAATTAATTAGAGATAATATCCACAGATGAATGATTTTTGTTAATTTTGCAGCACTCTAAGAAAATGTAACACCAGAATTACATTGGCTTTAAGAAATCCTAGTAAATAAGAAAGGGTCTGAACTAACTTCTGTTGAGTTGAATGATAAAATGCCTGTTTCTGTCAATGCAAGTGCTACTGGCTTTGCTTTTGACCAAAATCATGACTGATTACGTAAAGCATCAGGTTTTGCCTGAAGAACCGTTGACCCTTTAAGTTGGATAAATACAATTGTAACCAAGAGAGAAAACAATCTCACTCCCAGTCCTTAAAAAATGGCATTAAAGTTTATGTGAAATGGTATTTACTTGAAGATGGTTTCCTCCTAGATATTAACAGAAATAAAAGGGCAACTGTCTGTGCCCTCTGGTGTGAATTCCCTTTGCAGTCAGTACTTCTGATCAACCTTTGGTTGGAATAAGAACTGACAAAGGAAAACCCACTGATTATTCCTGCAGCCTAGGGAGCTAGCCCTGGGATTTTCTAGCCAGCATCTATTCTGGATAAGAATATTTCCAATGGCTGATGTAGTTGATATTATGTATGCTTTATGTGTGTGTGTCCTGATTAAACTAATTGTTTAGAGAAACAATAGCAAGCATGAATCTCTTGCAAGATCCTGTCATGATTTTTGTTAACTGGTTTTGTTATTGTGGCTTTGATCTCCCCATGTGTTTTGTTGGTGAAAGAAGTTAAAACCTGGCAAAGCTTATGCTAATGTAATGGTTATTGTACATTCAGTATAATTGTGTTTCCATAAGAACATCTTTTACATAAAGTAGGATTAAACTGGTTTAGTATTACTGTTACATCAGGAATATTGAATGAGCTCTGCATTCCTCAGTCCACTGTATTAACACTGAAGACTTCTCTCCCCCAGGTTTGCAGTCACCGGGTTAGATCGTGCAGCAGCATTCGCTTTATAAAATCAAAATATGTGTGCGTGTTTGACAAATCTGCCCTCAAGTTTAGTCATCAGCAGCGATTATTCAGAACATCTGCTGGTAATTTTTCATCATAACATTTCTTTTACTTTGCTATTTGATGAGTGTTACGTTCGCAGTTTGTTTATGACTGGTGTGTAGACTATGCTTGATGCATTCAGATTTTTCTGTCTGAGGTATTCAAGTATTAAACATTCTGTATTTCTGGTTCATCTATTTTAAGTTTCACGTGGCCAAATTGTCCAGTTTAAGCTTTCTGACATTGGAGAAGGGATTACGGAGGTGACTGTAAAGGAATGGTAAGCTCTACTTCTATAGAAATACACTAAGAAATGAGCAAGTAGCTTAACAGCTGTATTATCAGTTATGTATCTGTGAATATGTTTTCTGGATTACTGGTGAAGTTTTTCAGGTTTAATTTTCCCCATTTTTAAACCCTGTATATACTAAGCTTTGCATTTTGCTTGCTTACAGTCTGATTTATTTGAGAGTGGAAGAAGTGGAAGGAATGGGATGCCCTAACTGTACTTATATATAGGCTTTTGTTCAGTGATGAATGTTTTTAGAGTTCAAGTTGGTCTTTCTTTTATTATACTTAGGCTGACCTTAGGAAGCAAATACCTAGTCTGGAGGATCCACATCATTTTATCCTATACCCCTTCTTTATTGACTTTAGCAAAAGATTTGAACATTAAATTGCTTGTAAAAAGCCAGTGATGAATGGATTAAGCAAAATCAAAGTGTACAGTGAAGGAAGGCAGTGTTGAAATGCCTTGTTCTTTGTAGAAATAGGTGAAAATATACTGATCCTGGCAATTTGAAACTAAGAACTTTATTAGATTCAGACTAAGCTAGGCTCATTCTTATTTTTAGATGGCTTATAATCTGTCAAGAAAACTGTGCTTTACCAAAGTAATAGTAAAAATCCGTATCTGATGGTATCCTAAATCATTTGTGATTTCACACCACAAAGGGTTCCGCAGCAGTCAGGCAAAAGGTATATAGCAAATGTACCCATTATGTAGAATTTGTATTCTTATCCAGAATGCATTTTCAAGTTGTGGGCATGTACATAACTGATCAAAAGAACACACAAGATGGATTTTTACACTTAACATGTTTTATACTAGCCCTTGTCTTTTTCTTTTAGGTACATAAAGGAAGGTGATAGTGTGTCTCAGTTCGATAGCATCTGTGAAGTACAAAGCGATAAAGCTTCTGTTACTATTACTAGTCGTTATGATGGCATCATTAGAAAACTCCATTATAGTTTAGATGAAATTGCTTATGTTGGAAAACCACTAGTGGACATTGAAATCGATGCTTCAAAAGGTATTGTAAACTGGGCTTTTCTCTCTCCGGTTTTGTGTTTGTTGTCATAAAGCCATCAGTGACAGTTTACTTTTTCCTCCTGAAATTCTTAAAACCGATTTTTCTCTCTCTCTCCCTCCTCCCCCTTTATGAAGTCAAGAAAACTAAGTAGAAAAAGCTGTGATACTTTATTAGGATTTACAATCTCAACACTACCTATTGAAATTTTAGCTTAAGCAGCAGCTGGGTTGCCATTCCAATCCCATCCCGTCCCAGTGTTAAAACCCTCATCTGTCATGGAATCACAGAATGGTTGGAGTTGTAATTCAAGAAATGCTTATAATGTAGTAAAGTTAATTTTTTTGTTTGCAGGTGTTGCCACAGCAGAAGATGTTGTTGAAGCACCTCCTATGTCTCACGAAGAACACACACACCAAGAGATAAAAGGTCACAAAACATTAGCAACCCCTGCAGTTCGTCGTCTGGCCATGGAGAACAATGTAAATTTGCTGAACCAGATCCTGCTACCTTTAATCCAGCTTTTATATAGCAGTTTGACTGACAAGGAGAACATGGATCTAGAGGAGAGTACAGTGAGAAATGGCTTGTTTCCAAATACATTTTGAATGTGTAAAAACTGTTGTAAAGATGAAGAGGATTGTGCTTTCTGATGATTATGGTGGATAGAAAAAGAATTACTGGGCTTAAAATGCAGCTGAGATGCTTTAGGCTGGAGATTAAGAAAACCCTTTTAGAATAAAAATCAGAAGTATCAGAATAGATTCCTGGGAGAGAGGAGGGAAAATGGAATCTCAGCTTTAGCTACTTTGTTCTGTTTTTCAGACTTGTATTAGAGCAGAGGAGGTACTAGGTGAGCTTTTCTGATTCTTTTTATGCTGCGAATCTATGAATATTCCTTTGGCTTTGAAATCTCATGGTGCATTTTTAGGAGAAAAATAAATAAGCAGAGAAAATTCAGTGGAAATAGCCTTCCTCAGATTAATCATAGAATCAATTAGGTTGAAAAAGACCTTTTAAGCTCATCAAGTCCAACCGTTACCCCAGGACTGGAAAGGGCACCACTAAACCATGTCACTAAGGGTCTCACACTGATTCTGGGAGGTAATTAAGAGGTAAGTAGTATTCATAGTTCTTGCTTAAAGTATGCAGCTAGGCGGTACCTAGTGAGCCTTCTGGAGGATTTGAACAGTGTTGAGTACCTAATAAATCATAGAAAGAGAAAGAAAACTGTAGATATGTTAGATCAATAACTGAAATAATTTTTATTGTAGCTCACAATATAGAGTATTTTTATATTGCTGTAAAACAAAAGTGTGATAGCTTGTTATGTACTTTTCAGATTAAATTGAGTGAAATTGTTGGAACAGGGAAAGATAACAGAATCCTTAAAGAAGATATACTCAATTACTTGGCCAAACAAACAGGAGCTATTTTACCTCCATCACCAAAGGCTGAAATTATCCCACCTTTGCCAAAATCAGAGACTGTGCCAGCTCTTCCAAAGGACAAAGCACGCAAAATTCCTGTGCCTGTTTCCAGACCCATTGTGTTTTCAGGAAAAGATAAAACTGAACCTATAACAGGTAAATAAACACTATACAATCTTGAGACTAAGTTCACAGTAGGCTACTAATAAATGTTAATCCTTGAACAGATGGTTCTTTTTGACAGGAGTGTCTTTCATGTTATTGTCGTGCAAGTAAGCGGTAGGAAAACATGCTCTGTTAGAAGGTGTTGCATGAAGTAATTATTTTATGAAATAATTGTCCATGTTTTAATTGGATGGAATTGGGCTCCAAGTTGCATTTACTCATTTTTAGTCTGTGATTGTTCAATGTGTGCTGAAACAGGTAGGAATTCTGAAACACATGTGAAGTATAATTACTGGCAAAGTGCCATAAATTTGAGGGTTTATCAGTGCTTAATATGATTAAGCATACTTTAGCCTTCACGCTTTTGGAGAAGCGTGCAACAAAATACATAAAATAAGAAAAAACACATTAAAATAGGAAAATAAAAGAGGTTTTGCTTGTCTTTCAGGCAGTGTTTATTTGGAATGAGTAGTGCAGATTACTGTACTATGATGTCAAATACATACATAGGAGGGATATGCAGTAATATATTCTGAAATACTGCAGTTGTAAAAATTGAGTTGCATGTGCTGAATAGTTGATCCTAACGTGAGCTTCACTCTGTCCTTCCTTTGTTGTGGTTTGGTTTGGGGTTTTTTTAAGTTGTGTAATTTGTTTAATGAAAACAAATAACTGAAATTTCACCATAACTTGCCAGAAGCTCATTCTGTTGGTTTAAGAAGTCAGTGAATATTTTGCAGGTTTTCACAAGGCAATGGTAAAGACTATGAATGCAGCCCTGAAGATCCCCCACTTTTGTTACTGTGATGAGATTGATTTGACTCAGCTTGTGCAGCTGCGAGAAGAGCTGAAACCTCTAGCCCAAATTCGTGGAGTTAAGATTTCCTTTATGCCTTTCTTCATAAAGGTGAGACCTGCAGCAGAGCTCTTACGCAGATTTGGTCAAAATCTGATCAATGGTGTTGTAAGTTTGAAGCACCTCTTTATCATCTGAATAATTACAGGGCACAAGTAAAGTCTCAACTTTTCTTGGTTATTTATTAATTTACTATTGGAATTATAGTTAGGGCTATTTTAATATCATGGGAAGACTTTATTAATGGGGAAGGATGGAGCAGGTAAAGCATTATTTGTGATGGGGTTAAGCATCACTGGGTGTTTGTATTGCACAAAACAAATTTGAGAAGCTGTCAGTATTTTCTATGAGCTCAATGAAGATAAACCCACATGAAATGCATAATTAATATTGTTATTATTCTTATATCTTTGGTTAGTAATGAACCCCATAGGTGAATCAGTATGTCTCTCCTGTTGTTCAAGTGAATCAGTATGTCTCTCCTGTTGTTCAGAAGGCCAAACACTTGCACTCATTTAGTTGCCATTGTTCCGTTTCCAACTGTTGGCATCAGTGAAGACACTGAATGCATAGCTTAGTCTGAAACTTCTGGTGATGCTATTTCAATTAGAGTGCTAAGTAAGCATTTGTTCTGCTCCCTCTCTTTAGGGGAAATTAGTATTACTTCCTTGAAATAATTTTCATCTAAATGGAGAGCTGAGAATGACATTGCTGCTGAATCTCATAACTTTTGTCTTGGGATATTTGATTTGAATTGTGGAATGGAAATAAAAGGAAATTCAATTATACTTGGGAAAGGGATTATCACTCTTCATATGTCTGTCTGATATATATTTTGGTTTTGTAAGTTGTCTTTTTCTTCTGCTATCCTAATAATGACAGAGTATCAACAGACAAGTTTAGGAGAGTTTAAGCCATATTGTTAATAATCTAAATTGTCTCCCACCTTTCCATCCTTTCCATGCAGGTCTCCAATTCTAAAATATAAAAATCTGTCCTTTTATTTTTTCTTTTCTATTTACCAGGCAGCCTCTCTGGGATTATTGCAGTATCCCATTCTTAATGCTTCTTTGGATGAAAACTGTCAAAATGTCACATATAAGGTTTGTAAAGTACTGATAAAAGGTGTGAGCAGAAAACCTAAACTAACAGCTGACAAGGGCTTTTCAGAATGGCCAAGTTCATTGCAAGAACCAAAATTACAGTGTTGTGCTGGAAAATAATTTGGATGTCATGGAATCCCGGACGGGTTTGGATCGGAAAGGACCTTAAAGCTCATCTAGTCCAAACCCCCTGCCACGGGCAGGGACACCTTCCGCTAGAGCAAGTGGCCTTCCAACCTGGCCTTGAGCACTGCAAGGGATGGGGCAGGCACACCTTTTCTGGGCACCCTGTGCCAGTGTTTCACCAAAACTGTGGTGTTGTGCCAGAAAATAATTTGTCTGTCCAGATTCTAAGATTGGATTTGATTTATTATTGATCTTATTTCAGTAGTTCCCTTAATGAGAACCAATTTGTTATTTAGGTTGCCTTAAAAATGCATATTAATCTAGTGGTTTCTTATTTTTCACCTGAAGATGAGCTAAGCATTTAAAAATCAGAACATATAAGTTCTAGTGCAGATTTTAGTAATGGCACAGTGGTTCCACTGTTCCAGCGCTCAACCCTTATGTATTAAACTCGTATTTTAAACTCAGCTTTGGTAAAAATGAGTTCATTTTCATACAAGATGCTGGATTGATTCTTCTGGGCAGGAAATTTTTTTTTAAGTGATGTGTACATGCTCCTTGCAGCACAAACTGTTTTCATGCTGTTTTATCACTGTCTCTCAGATGAATCCTTACCTATTCTTTCTAGCAAATGAAAGGCAGCTCAGTTTCCTTTTAATGTTAGTGAACTCATTAAAATGTGCTAATCATGGTTTGTTCCCCATATAATCATCCTAAAGTCAAATATTTGCAGTTCAAAATTGATTCCAGAATTTAGTATTTGCCAAAATAAATTTGCACTTGGCAGATGTGAAAAGGGAATAATTGAAACTTTTACATCCCCTTCTCCTGTCAAAGCTGTATAGAGGAGTTGCAGCTCCTGCTACAGACAGCACTTTCTAAGTTAAAAAGATACATAGGGAAGACTTATTCAAGTGCTTTTCTATGGAAAATAGATTTTATGTTGACTGCTTATGTTAATATCCAGTTAATGAAACTGGTTGCAGGCTTCACACAACATTGGAGTTGCTATGGATACAGAGCAAGGTTTGATTGTCCCAAATGTGAAAAATGTGCAAGTCTGCAGCGTGTTTGAGATTGCTTCTGAATTGAATCGCCTACAGTCTCTGGGCTCTGCAGGCCAGCTGGGAACCACTGACCTCACGGGAGGAACATTCACCCTTTCCAACGTTGGCACAGTAAGTACTGGTAAAATGGGAACTTAGGCTGAAAACTGAAATAAATACCTTAGCAAAGTTTAATATGCAATGAACAAACCCTGTGGCAATTAATGCAAGAGGCAGTCTGCTTAAAACAAAGTTAATTTCATTAATATCCCTAGCTTTTTCTTTTCTAGATTGGTGGCACTTACACCAAACCTGTGATACTACCTCCTGAGGTAGCTATTGGAGCACTCGGAAAGATACAGGTATATTCACTTTCCCTCAGTGATGTGAGTGTTTAACTAAGTTCATGTGTAATGAGGATGTCTCTGTTTTGTTTTTGTTGTATAAATGTTTTGTCTTTATGTTACAGAAGCTGCACAGCTTGTGACTGTAAAGTTTTGTGATGTTTTTAGAGACACCAGATGTTTAAATAGAAGTCTCTTGTGCCAAGGGTTCAGATTTGTTTTCTAGAATCCTGTTACATTACACTCATGTCTATGTTTAGCCTTCTGATTATTGAGAAACAACATAAATATATTCTTACAGGTTTTGCAACACGGTGATAGCATTTTTGCTGTCATCAAGGAGAAAACATGAGACTGAAACAGTATTCTGATACTGAAGTTCAGTTTCATGAGCCAGATAACTGAATTCATACAGCACTCTGTATGGTGAAAGGTGTTTCATATTTCCTGAATTTCAAGCTTTAAATCTTTAATACAGACATTTGAGATCAATGGTGGAAATGAAGTCAATATTAAATTAAAATTACTTTTTCTGTGTTCTTCCTGCAAGCCTTTTATTTAGGGAATGGTTTAGAAAAGTCTTCACTTTGAGCACTAACGGTGCAATAAACTCTTCAGGAAGAGACTTTTGAGTCAAGAAAGATTTTTGCTACTTCAGCTATCTCCGTGTTGGTGGAAACAGGATATGATTGTTTATTATGTAGGTTTGCAATATATCCTGATCTGCAGCGCAAGCAATAATGGGAAGGCCTTTGTTTTTTCAATGGCCCTACTGCTGTCTGTCTCATATAGCAAAATGTTTAGATTTAGATTAACAACTTAATGGTAAAAGAAATACAGCTTTGTTAATGAAAGTATTTCCTATTCCTGGTTTTTCCTGTCCTCTGATGTGTAGATTCTTCCTCGGTTTAATGGAAAAGGTGAAGTATTTAAAGCACAGATAATGAACGTGAGTTGGTCGGCTGATCACCGCATCATTGATGGAGCTACAATGGCCCGCTTTTCGAACTTGTGGAAATCTTACTTGGAGAACCCTGCTTCCATGCTGCTAGACCTTAAATAAAGGAAACCTGGGCTGGAATATGCCTTCCAACTTTGTCAGTTAGACTGAATAATGACAAAATCTGGCACTGCTAGCACGTGGCCTTTGCGACGCACATTAGTATATCATATTGTCTGGTTAAAAGTTCTCAACAGCTGGTATCAGCCTATCAGTCATCACTTCTTTTAATTAGTAGTGCTGTAATTTCTTTTACAGGAGACTGCAAAACTTAATAGATCATGGGGTGACTTCTGATTATGGTGAATGAATGTCTTTATTTCGCCTTTTCTAATATGTATGTTTGTGAGGCTGGTGTGACCGAATGACACTGATCTACATCTGCAGTATTTATAATCTGATTAACCTCTTTTGAAGGGAAATGCTCATCATTCTGCCTTGTTGGACACATACATTTATTTTAATAATTATTATCCAAATTTACAAAAGTTATGCAAAAATAATATACAAATAAAATGCCTTTTATGCTTCTGCTGTAAGATGTCCAGAGAGCTTTTTGTTGTTTAACTGAATAAACCTCTTGAGTCTTTTGCTAGTCCACTTTTTCCTGGCAATTACTTGCACAGGTACTCTTTATCAAATTATAAATTAAGAGGCCATATTTATTGAAGTGCTTGCTGGTAACATGTATTGATAACTGTCAGGACCTTAATGCTCTAGAATATCCTGTATTTTTATAAGCTGGAAGTAGCTGCAGGCCTTAAGTACCTTCCTGTTATTTTTGTTTTGTATAGAAAGCATCTGTCTGTTACAAAAGAAAGAAAGACAAGAAAAAACCGAGAATCTCATTTTGGTTTTCTGTCCTTGGGAAAGCCTGACAGGAAGCAGAACACGTTCTGAAAGCTTGCATTGTACATTGGTGTTCAGGTAACTAGAGTTTGACAGGTTAATCAGATACAATGAAGAATTAACATTAAAAATATCACTGTATCAGATAAGGACTTTTTAAACTCTGATGTGAGGCACATGATGAACAGGTTCAAGTTAGTGCCTCCAAACAGGCAACAGTCATGTGGCTTTGAGGTAAACTGAACAGATGGTGAGGTTTGCACTGGTGATTTAAGAGGAGAGATGAAGAAAACTGATGGGTATAAATTCCTGCTAGAAATTGAAGTTGAAAACAGACACAAGAGAAGACAGCTACATGGCCTTAAAAATGAATTCGTGAAGCACAAAATGGACATTTTTCTCCTTTCTTTAGATACATCAAAAATTGCCCCTACAGGAGCATTCTCCAAAACTGTAGACCAAATTTGTTGATTGCATTAGCTGTGAAGATGCAAGACACAAGCTACCAGAGGTAGAATCTCTGCTATCCTTGATGCTGAGACTGAGCAAGAGGAAAACTGGTAATCTAGGGGAGGGAGCATGGGAGCATACATGTAAGGTGCTATTTATATTTCTATTGTGGTATAAAAGTATTTTATATCTAGGTCATATCTTGCGAAGTTTGACTAATATATTGTGCTTATCGCCTGTTTGATTTTTATGAGATTTATTTATTCCTAATAAAAAATTAAAGCCACAAAGGCTTGTAGTTATAGTGGTTTTATTTGTTCATTTTCTGCAGGCAATTCTGGACAGGTGACAAGCTTCTATTTCTTCTTTATGAATTTCTACTTGTCTTAAAGATCCTCCTGCACTCAGGACTACCAAAAGAACAGTCTGCTTTCCTACAAGTGTGTTGTTGTGGTAACAGCTTAGTCTGGACAGTGTGTTTTTTAATCTGATGACCATGGAGAAAGTCGATTGAGGAAACATGACTCTTTGACAGAAAGCAATAAAGTGATCTGGAAGTATTTGGGACAGAATACTTTTGCTTACACAAGGAGCTTGAAATTTCTTTGCCTCTAGAAACTGCAATAAAAGGGAAGGTTATTTGGTTTTTCCTAGCTCCAATTATCTGTTTCTCTTAAGGAGGTGGAAATGAAGTAGTTAGTTAGCTTTTTACTTATGACTTTTTTAGATCAACAGAAAACACTGGTTCGAAACCACTGTGACATAGAATCTATTCAAAAACTGAAAGAAGAAATACCTGTACCAGAGAACCTGCTGGATCATTTTTGCTTCTGCATAACTTTAAAGGAAGAAAAAGAAATCCAAATCAAACCAAAACCATAGGAGAAGGTTGGAAAATGGAAAACTAAAGCAGTCAGTGTCTTCTTACTTAGGTGTTGGTGTTCAGGTGTTTAGTTGGTCATGGGCTGGAGAGGGTCTTTTTAGTTATAAAATCCTATGTGGTAATGCCAATAATGAGGAAAAATTCTTTCTACTGAAAGAGGGTTATAACCAAATGAGTGACATTTTTGAAGTTTCCTCTTCACAGTTTCCACTCCAGTGCAAAAATTGGTTAGAATTGTCCACTTCTAGAGCTTCTGCCTTAAATCCCTGTGATTCTTGCTCCCTCTCTTGCCATTTGGATGACGAAAAAGATTCTGATAGTTGTTCTTTCACCTTCTTCAGGGGTTCTTTAAAGAGATAGAGCGTTAAAAATGTTTAATGAGTGGAAGCATGAAACTGGATCAATAATAACCTTCTGCACACCCAGTACAGATTACTTTTCTGCCTGGACTTTGGTATTTTGCACTAAAATTCTCCAACAAGAGAATTCTTCAGCATGGGCATAAGTAACAAGGAAAATGCTTAGTGATGTAATGCTTTTGCTAGTCTAATTAGTCAGTGTTGCTGTTTAATAGCACTTTGAAGATCAGTTATCTTGCAGAGAACCATTGCTGGAGTAAAGCAAATAGCTGTCATTTTGAATTCAAAACTAGCTTCATTTTCATTGTGGAGCATAACAAGTACTTCTTGGTTCTTTTTCCTGTCCCCCAGTTTGTAGCTTTTGTTACTGGGACTCCAGTCATATTCAGCAAACTGGGAGGACTGTAAGAAGGATAAATGGGGGTTTTACAGAGTGCCTCATGTGATACCTTCTATTCTCAGCATAGGTTAAAATTAGAACTAGACTGACATTGCACTGGAGTCTGAGTGAGGATTTTAAATGGTTTCGTTAGCACAGGCCAGGTTTGTAACTTATCTCTGCTTTTGCTCAGAAAGCAATGAGTCCCCGAAGACCCTTGACAACACCAACTAATTGAGGTACGTTGCTGTTAAACTCTTTCAGATACTTGGAGGTGAAGTTGTGGGGAGATCTGATTACTTGGGAGTAAATGTGCAGCTGTAAGCCATGCTTGGGAATTCAATTCTGAATCATTGGTTATTATGGATTTTATTTTCCGGACAAATAATAAGATCAAAGAATAAGAAGCTTTTGATGGTAGTCCTGTTATAATGTAATTAAATCTCCATGAAAACAAAGTCATATACTTAGACTCTCTTTCATGTTTCGTGGTTCTAAAGCAGTATTTATTGAATAATATGCTTTCCACGGCCAAAGAGCATTGCCCAGTGTAAGCTTTACTAAAAATAAGTATTGTTTCAACTGTCTAGTCCAATACTGGTTTTAGTAGTACAAGTATTAAGAAGTGCCCCTTTTCTGCAGTTTATATAAAAAGATATCAAGTTTTCTACCTAAAATGGCTTACAATTCAAAATGTGTCTCTAAACAACAAGAAATGATGGATCAGGTAAATCACTTTATCTCAGTAGAAGTTTAATCCTGAAAAATAAAGCTATTTAAATTGTAACTACTAATCAGAGCAAAAAAAAAAACCTCATACTGTTGCATATTGGGGTGAAAAATGAGAAAGGTAATTACAACGAGGACCACTGAAAGATAAGTTAATCCTTCAAACTAATAAATGTGATCACATTTATGTGCTGAAGGAAAAAAAAAAAATACAATCCTCTCTTACCCAGGAAAAACTTAAATTCCTCTTTAGCAGCCCAAATGCCAGACTGCATTGTGCTGCACTGGGGTTGCTGTTTGTGCCACCTGTCAAATCCTGATGTTCCTCCTTAACAAAGGGAGAACAGTTGAGATCCTTAATATTGGCCCAGGCTCATCTTCATTCAAGCATTAGAATTAAATTTTTATGCTGTTTTTACAACAGAAATCAGTCCTGACAATTATTTCTTATCATTTGCTTGTACATTTGTAATTAAGTGAGCTCAGTACAATCAGGCTTTACAAACAACTTTGTTACAAAAGACATGGTAAACATCAAATAGAACGCTTGACTATTTGAACACACGAATGTTCGCTAAGCAATTGTGCCTTATCCACACCACACAAAATTATAGTGGAACATGATAGAAAAGATTGCTCAGAAAGACAGACCTGCAACAATTGTAGGGAAATACATGCATGAAAAGACTTGAAATTCCCCTTTTGTTGTTATCTACCTGCTTGTTTAGAAGACAGTTTTACTCACTTTTTTAGCTTGAATGGATATCTAAGACATTTTCCTTACTCGTCCCTGCGTGTATTAGTAAAAGTTTGGAAAGAAAGCATTCAGCTCATCAGTGTTCAGAGTACAGTGAGTGCTGGCATGAAGTTGAGCCCCACAGGCTTGTCTGAATATCACTATCTTGGCTCCAGTTTATTTCCAAACAAACCCTTCCCCAAATGACTACAGTAACAGCAAGAAGAATGCTTCTTAGAGGGATGCTCTGCTCGGGATAACTGAGGATCCTGCTTTGCTGCTCCTCAAGAAAATCTGTATTCACTATCTCGCTAAGGACTTGATGACTTTAGGCTGAAGTTTTGTTTTAAATGTGGCTCCTGACACTCAGCAGGGCTACAGGAAGAGACGTTCTGAGAGATCTGAAGGATTTTAAAAGTTTTTTTTCTGAAAAGGAATGCATTACTAACTAAAAATATAGTATAATGGGTTAAACTGTGAAGAAAGCGAATGCAAATAAAGAATCCTCATTCACTTCCAGCAACGGTTCAGTTCCTCTAAAGCACAAACATCCTTTAGTTACAAGTATTTATACCAGGTAGCTCCCAGGATGCAGCCATCAGGATTTAACTGCCTTAAAATGCAGATAACAGCTGAATTTCTTCCTGAAAAGGGAATGAATGCTCATGTCTGCATTTAGTACTTATGGTCAGTACTCAGCCTACCATTGGAAGGAATTGAGAGAAGCAGTTGTTCATTGACTAAGAATGCAGAGAGATTGCAAGGATACCATTTCTTATTATAAGTAAATGTAACTACATGCAATTATCTATTTTTATAAAGAGAAAGCGGTTGGTAAAATTCTGGCGGTGCAATGCATTAACTACGTTCAACAAGATAATCAAGTAGGTATTGCAGCATTTTAGTTTTTGTATCACTGTCCCCATCTGGTAACTGATGCATGTGCTGATCTGTTGAGCCTGAAATTCAGAGTCGGATTGCTGTGACTGTACCTGAACATGTAAGGATCATGAATGAAACTGCAGTTTGTGTTGGAACATTCACTGCTGTGAAGACACTTTGGGAAGTAAGAATACACAAGATAAATGAGGAATTACAGAAGGAAAAGGAATTCAGAGAGAGGTCTGCAGGAAGGTAGGTAAATCGTAGTTCTGTAAGTATGTGAGAAGCTAGACCATGTGTTACATTGCAGAAGAGTGCAGCTGGTCGTTTAAAACTCATTCAGACTTGAATTGTTTAGTTGTTATTCCAGGAGAATTCCCACTGGTTGGAATCTAGCAATACTGTTGGGTCAAACTGAGAACTGTGTTCTGTGTAAGAATATTAGCATATATACTAAATCCCCTAAATTCAGATATGAAAATCCTCTCCTGTGTGGATATCCTAACTATAGAAATTTAACATGATATGCTTTCTTCCCAGCGAAGGCATTCAAAGGGTCTCTTGAGCTCCAGTCTGGGCAGTAATTTCATGGAATATGAAGAAATTTAGCATTCTGTTTTTGGAAGTCTTCCTGATCTGTCAGATGTGTTTGAAATGGAATCACAAATTCAAAATACAAGCAGAAAAACAGAGAATTGCCTAATTTTCATGATTCTTGTGCAAGTCCCCCTGGGAAATCAAGCCAAAAGAATCCCTGTCTGATAGACCTCGTTTGATTGCACTTACACTTGGTGAACTGAAGGCTTTCTTTTTAGGAGATGGCTTCAAAATAAACAGCTTTGGAACTTCATTCCACATGACTGTATATTCTGTTGCCCTGCTGCAACATGACGAAGGTGAATGAAGTTATGTCTTGCTTCCAACTGTAAATTTGAAGAGCTATAAAATAGAATTCCTATAAATTGCCTCAGCCAGACATTACTCTGTGTTCTTGTCTTCCCTCAAATTGATAGTATATTTAGCATCCAGTTGTAATAAGTGTTGTTTGACATCCAAAAAGGCAACTGTCCCTTTGTTCCAGAAAATACAACGGATAGATAGTGACTATTGCCTGTATTTACTGTTGCACCACTGACAGAGCTTCTTTCCCTCGTAGGCTACTACTTGTTTGGGAGGAGAGAGCTGCTTTAGCAAAGCTCAAAGAAAAGGTTATTAATGAAGATGGGAGAGCAATTTTAAGGATAGAGGAAGAAGAATGGAAGGTAGTGTTGATAGGGAGGAATGTTGAATGACTGATGCATTAGAAAACTACTATTCCCAACTTTACACTCACAGTTGTATTATTTTTAATCTGTGAAGTGCTCACTTGTGTGCTTTGCTAACAACAAATTGAGATACACTGTTGTGAGAGTGTAAAAGCAAGCTGATTATTGAAGTCCTGAATATAAAGCATTACTTTGCAAAAATATAGCCCCAAAAGCTTTTCTGCATTAGGAATTATTTACCCTGCAAATGATGAGTTTACTTATGTCAATTCTCATTTAACATTATGACACCAGAACAACTGAAATGTATCAAGGGGATAACCCTCTGCGTTAGCTGCATGGAAATATTTCATACTGGTTTTCCTTTCTAAAAGTGAAAGTGAGCCTGTAAATCCCCAGGATATTACTACTTTTGTTTCTAATGCATGGGGGTAAGTGGCTAACTGTAAATCAGTGACAGACTGGAAGAAGTCTGTTCAGAGCCATACAGGAATGCAGATGCCAGTTCTGTGAAGTTATGAGAATTAGACTGTGTTGAGGGCAGTGTGAGTGACAGTCCCATCCGGCAATACTCCAGTGTTCCTTGTTCAGAACTTGTAGCATACAGACATCATAGTTCTTCTGTCCCTCAGCTCATCCACTCTCAGCTGCACACTGGTTTTCTTAACAGAATGGGAAATACAACTTAGATCACTGTTTAAATGCAAAAAGCTATTTAGAGTGGTCTCATCTTCAGCTATATTGGCTTTGTTTCAAAACAACCAAACAAACCAAAACAAGCCTGTGGCTTTTCAAGCAGTGACAGTAGTGCAGATACCTAACTCCTGGGAGGAAAACTGAACAGGTTAAATCTGTGTTCAGAATGGCCCACATTGATGATGTTCATTTGGGGTATGTTACAGTGTGGCTTCAGAAGGAAAGACTGTTGCTGTTTCAACTACAACTTCTACCTAAGGCTATATTGTTGTATACCAACCTGAATTTCTTCTGGTTCCTATTTCTTAGACGCTACCTTCGTGCTTATTGAAACTAGCCCATCTCCAGGAGTGGCAGCTTCACAGAACGAGTTTGCAGAAAATTCCTCACTTCATTGGCAGATTTCACAGTCTTGTTGTTTTGGATCTATCCCGGAACTCCATTGAAAGTGTACCTAAAGAAATCGGTGAGCTGTCCTTTCTTTGTTTTAGCTGCTTTTCTATCTTACAAAAACATGACAGTTTTGTGCACTTTGCCTGCCTAAGAATCCTGTTGGGTAGTTAGAGACCAGGCAATTGAAATCTGACAGTGAAATAGAGAGCTTGGAGCCATGGATCCCCTACAAATCCAGACAGATGGCCAGATGCAGGAGACAGTTCTTTATGAAAGCTCCCCATAAGACAAAAGCAGGTAAGCACACATAAGCACAGCAGGTACTGGACATCAGAGTGCAGCTAGAAAAGTGTTATTGAAAAATACATAGTGAGAACATGTTGCACTGGTATAACGATAAAGGGGTAACACAAACCAAGTAATACTGTATCTCAGATAGAATGAACATGTCTCATTTCTCATTTTGCTCTCTGCAGGCCAGCTGACAAGCCTCCAAGAGCTGCTTCTCAGTTACAATAGAATCAAATCTGTTCCTAAGGAAATAAGTAACTGCGTCAATCTGGAAAGACTGGAACTGGCTGTCAACAGGAGTATCTGTGATCTTCCTCCTCAGGTTCTGACAGACTAGCTTGTTTTGTTTAGTTTTGTTGAATGCCTGTTTTGAACTTATCCAAAACCAATTATCATTAAACATTACACTCCATGTTTTCAGATTTGCTTTGGTATTGAATTCCCAGGCACTCCACAGAAACACAATATTTATATGACTAGTCAAACTGAAGCCAGGTGAGGAGGACATACATATGCCTGAGAATTTGAAGGAGCCAGTCTTTACTTTGTCCAGATAAAGGACTTGGTAGTCCTTTATCACATAACATAGTGATACACCTGATGTTAATTTGTTTAAGCTAAAAGTCTTTGCTGGTTTAGCACAGATAAGTTCCCTTTTATGGCAGAGAATGCAAACGCGTACCATATGCCAGGACACAATTGCAAGCATCTTTACCAGAGCTGTTACGTTTGAAGAGGGGTAGTGTGATTTATACAGGTATTTATGCACAAAGAGTTGAACGAATGTTGTTCTGAAATGTTAAGAGAGAATATAAACAACTGCTCACCTACAATTGAGCTTTAATTTGGACTGACCTAAATGTGAGTGAGCCCTGCATCTCCAAGTATTAGACTCCTAGATAGAGATGAATATGTAACCATGTTTACCTGTTTCATTTAAGTAGTGGCAATAGTTGACAGCAATCAGTGCCTTGCAAAACTGAGTGAGTCCAAACAGTAATATCTAACAACAAAAAATCCTCAAATGAAAATATCCACTATTAATCAGTATGCAGAAGGTATAAAATCTATGTGGATACAGGTTACCTGCTGCAAGTGACAGCTTTTAAATTGACAGCTCATGGCAAATACCTAGTTCTGTTCTATTGAGACAAGTTTCAAACCCACGTACCTTCCAGGTGAGAGCTGTAACTGTCAGGTATTACCAGCTAATCTAACTCTCAAACCATGCTGTGTCTATGAACTTCAAAATGTGTCGTGATGATTTCAAAGTGTTTCTTTGTTTCAGTCAACATTATTACAGCACTGCTCTAATGCAACAGCTATTCCATTAAACCTACCTTTCTTTTCAGCTCAGTGATTTAAAGAAGCTTTCACACATAGATCTGTGCATGAACCAGTTTACAAGCATCCCTTCAGCCCTTCTCAACATGCCAAGTCTAGAATGGTTAGATATGGGGGGGAATAAACTCCAGGAGCTTCCTGATGCAATTGACAGGTAAATAAAGCTCAAAGATGTTTTAGTCTGAACTCCACTGCATTGAAATTCTCATTACTAAATCATAATTCAAAAGATTATTTCAATGTTAACCTCACTGCAAACTTAAGATTTATCAGCTCTAATGTGATATTTTGGATGAGCTGGAAAAATCCATTCAATAAACAACAAATTCAGTGTCAACTATCAAATTATAATTTCTTGCCAATTACATTTTCCATCAGAGGTTAGGTGTTTATCTGGGATACAGGGTTTCCTGTCAGAATTGTTATATTCTTAATGAACGTTCCTTATGTGACTGTAAAAATGAATTACTTTTATAATAATTGATAAGATTAATTTGCTAAATCTTGATCGATTGCACAAATAACTGTTTTACAGGATGGAAAATCTCCACACTTTATGGCTTCAAAGGAATGAGATAACCTCTTTGCCAGAAACCATTGGTAATATGAAAAATCTTAGTACTCTTGTTCTTAGCAACAATAAACTTAGGAATATTCCAGCTTGTATGAAGGACATGACAAGTCTGAGGTAAGTAACAGAAACATAAATACTAGCAGATAAGTTTTAAAGCCTCCCTTGAGCTGTGTATCATAGAGTGAAACTAAGAAGTGGAAAAGACATGTCCACAGTTGTACAGATAGACACAATACCATATAAACCAGTAGAATTACACTGAGTCACAACAGTTGAGGATCTGGTCAAGAAAGCTTTGTGTATCCTCACTCACTTAACGAAGTAAGCTACGATGGTTACAGTCCCAAATGGAATAGGAGACTAATACCTTTTCTTATTTCTGAAAGGTCCAAATCACCATTTCTAATCGTCCTTTGCTGTCACTCTCTAAAGCCAAGAGCCAAGACAGGAAAAATACATGTCACGCATAAAAATGAGACAGTTTGTCACAGAGAAGTCAACTGCTCAGAATTAAACAAAAAGGCTCAGGTGTAAGGATATAAATAAAACTCTCCTGTACTTCAAGAAATGAAAAAAGAATGGATGTACATTTTTAATGGGTAGAATCAGAAATATTTTGTGTACTGTGAAAGTTTCCTTTTTTTGCATTTTCACTTGGGTTACTGGATGCTGACTGTTGGAGAGAAAGAATGCTAGTCTAAAATCACGTCTAACCCAGTAAAACAATCCCTGTTTTCAGCTAGCTTGGAAGAAGCAGCAACTCTTTAAACAAATATCTCAAGCATAGGCCAAGGTATGGTTTAGTTTACTTCATACTACCAGTATAATGGCAAGTTTAGTGTTAAGAAAAGACTTCTTTTGCTGAAAATACTGTTTGAGGAATCATAGTTAAGTTTCAAAAGAGTTGTTGTCTCTGGACAAAACTTGTTGCAAGAGTAACCTTTTTTGGTGAACTGTCAGATTTGTCAACTTCAGGGACAACCCACTGGAGTTAGAGGTAACACTCCCTCCATGTGAGAATGAAGAAGAGGAGGAGCAACAGGAAATGTTTGGCATCGAATTCATGCACGTGTATATCCAGGAATCTCTCAAGAAAACAGGTATGGGGTTTTTATTAACTCTTATCTCTCTGGAATACAGTGAGGAAGGGAAGGATAAGCTGGATAAAAAGCAAGCCAGGATATGTATACAAATGAAACATTAATAATCTTAATAACTGAGTAACATTCTCCAAAACAGCTGTGAACAAATTTTTACTGAGGGTAGGGATGAGTTTATCAGGGGTTGGCCCTGGAGCTTTCCCATGAACAGCTTGTATTCTAGTAGGAACATGCTGGAACCACGCAATATTGGGATTAGTTACCTACAGCCTGTGTAACTGGAAGTTGCTGACTGGCTCTAGTATTTGCAATTTAATCAGTTTACAGTGTGGGTCTTCCAGCACTGTTTGTCTTACTAACATCAACTTTACCTATTTCTTGATGTTGTCCAGATGGTGACTATCAAAGCAGCATGTAAGGGGGAGATGCCCATGATAAACAGATGCTTCCCACCACTTGCTTTCCCTGTCAGCAAATCCGGTCACTTAAAACACCCTTCCAATTACATCTCATTCCTACATCACTTGTGACTAAAAAACACTGTTACTAGTCTCAAAGATAACAGCTGAAAGGTGCAGACAGAGCCTTTGGTGACATGGTCTAGGGTGAGGTGTTCCTGCCCATGGCAGGGAAGCTGGAACTAGATTATCTGAAGGTCCTTTCCAAATCTAACCAGACTGGGATTTTACGATTCTTTGAAAACAAGCACTTTTGAACACGTGCAGGTGGCAGCTATTACTTGCAGAGAGAATTTCACTGCACCTAAAATCAAGATCCAAGGGAACACTTTGTATCTATTGTGAAGACTTAAAAACCTGAAGGACTGAAAGGCTCTTTAATCATAACACCAAACCGGCTTTCTCTTCATCAATAATTCATGTCAGAATAATAAATTTAGCAAAAATACATCAAGATGACAGTTTACAAAGTTTTTTTCCTTAACAGACTCCCCTAGCAGCACAGGCTGATGGTTACTTAGGCCTACTTAAACATTTTAAGAGGAAATACAAAGCTATCCTGAACTTCAAAGTGAAAATAAAGTATGTTAACTTCCCTTAATTTAACCCACTGTCTTTCAGGAAATGTGGAAACCAGCACTTCTGGTCCTTCTCCTGTCACGAATGCTACTGAATAAAGAATGTAACTGTGAATGGAAGAAAATACCAAGCATACTTAATCCTAGCAAAGAGGCATACAACAGGTTTCAAATATTCCTAGGGATTTTATTTTTCCACTGATGCGAACTGGTTTGCATATTTGGAATTCCCACTCACACTGGGAAATAAAAGACCTTTTCCTTGTACAGGAAAGATTAAAACCTTTCTCTCTTTTTTTTTTTTAAGCAATGAATTAGCTTTGTAAAAATCCAGGTAAGTAACCTATGTTCTGTCATGTAGTTGGCTCTGGTATCAAAGATGGACTTGGGACAGCTGTCAACAGGACATTCTCCAAGGACACGGCCGACTCTATGTAATACTGCAGCACAGCCTTGTATCCTCGTTGTTGTAAATACTCAATCCGTCCATGATCAATAAGCCGTTTACAGAGGCAGCCTATCTCCTTTCGTTCTTCAACTGTAAGTATCCTGGTTTCATAAAAAGGAGGAAAAGAACAATAATGGGTGTCAGAAGAATAGCGCTGTTAATTAACATCAATAGGTAAGCTTAGAAAAAGCTATTTAAATCACTAGAAGTTCAGTTCAGGCAAGAGTGACTTGAAAGATTTTGAAAAGTATGTCCATGAAAATGATATTTTTAAAGTAGAGTATTTCTATCAATGAAAAAGTTTCTGTAAAATGAGGCATTTTGAAGGCCCCAAAGGGTTTCACGTATCACTACACACAATGTTCATTTTCTACAGGAGTCAATTTGCTAGAAAATGATTTCCATACCCCTGTAAAGTATCAGGACCACTCTCTATCTTGCTGAATGTCTGCTCATGTTCTTCTGCGTCGTTAGTTTGCTCTTCACTTTCTTCACTTGCAGAGGCTTGCTTTGTGGTTTCTCGCATGCCACAGGTGGCCCAGCTACTCATTCTCTGAAAATAGTGAAATTCTACTGGTCCGAGTCCTACTGATTTAAAGAACTCTCTGCCTACATAATGTGTCCAGTCACACTTGTGATGGCAACACAGAGCAATAACAATTCCAGCTACAGGCTTACAGTCAGCTTCACTGCTTTCATTATCAGCAGAATTGTTGGAAGCCACCTCTGTGTGATCAGTCCTAGAGCGTTTTGGTGCAGGCTCTTCATTTTCTGCATCACAGCGAGTTGTGTAACTTTCAACCAGGCATCTCAAAGCAAGATCTGGGAAAAAACAGATATATCCCCCCCCCCCCCCCCAAAAAAAAAGTAGCAATGAATGCCATGACATTATTTATATAGCCTGCATCCTGGTTGAGAATGTACTTGCCACAGAGAACAAAAGTATACAAACTAAGCCAAAAAGCAATTTGAAAGATAAATAAAAATTGCAAGCATGCTTTGAAAACATGAAACCCCTAAATGCTAAATTAATACTGTGAAACCTCTGGAGCTACTAAGGGCCTTTTGTCTTGAATATATGTGCTATGCATGTGGATTTAAATTACTTTGGTTAACAAAGTGGCGTATTGTGGGAGGATCTCCTGTAAAACATGCAATTATTTGCTCTAAAAGTTTGCTATCTAGGGCACAACCTATTTAATATGCACAGGCACTTCTTAAATGCCTGACTGTCATCTCTGTAACAGTGCCTATGTAAATGTCATTATCTGTGATGTTTTTCTCTACTTAGTATGCATAAAACATTAGAAACATTGTATTTAGTTTAATTATCAGGACAGAAACAAAGTCTTCTCATATGCTTGCTTGGGATCCACGTTCAGACAGGCAATACAGATTTAGAAAGAAAGATATTTCAGAGTAGAGGCAACAGTGTTAAAAAGATACTTTCAAAAATGTATGACCCATGTCACCACTCACTGTTCTTTGTTCTGCTCTATAAAAAACAAGGCAGGTTTTACTTGTTTCTAAAGTAGCCTTGCATCTATTATCAATTTACTATTCCACTGAAGTCAGTATATATTTAGAATGCTAATGCTATATTCACCAGAAAAAGGTTAGAGGGCAAGAAAAGGTTAAAAGGACAGTTTGGAAGCTCAGTCCATTCACATTGTAAGATCTAGTATCCTAACTTTGTGCAGGTAACACATAGAGAATTCATACCTGTTGCAGCACCACACAAATGCTTCCCAATTCCTACCACTGGGAGTTTTTTCTTCTCCAAAATAGGTACCTTATCTGGAGGGGAAAAAAAACAAACAAGAAAATAAACACACATACACAAAATCCACAACAATCTCAGAACTTCTATTATAATTAGGACAGTGTTTTTTTCTGGATAAAATATTTTCAGTACACTAAAGAAACAGATGTTTAACACCGCTAAAAATACAGTGGTCTATACAAACTATCCAAATGAAAGTTTCTTTTTCTAAAACAAAGAGAATTAGATGCTGTAGCTGAGAATCACATTTAGCCATTTTAGCCTTTCTATACTGCCTATGAAATGTAAATACAGCACTAATGCATCTCCTGATGACAGATGACCCCACAAATTCTGTCACTGAGATGCACAAGCACCTCAATGATAGGCAGTACTTTATTCTGCAACCTAATACAAATAATTTAGTCCTGCAAGCTTGAACCAAGCTTCATTTTGTTTATTTCTCACCTATGATGGCCTGTAAGTGTATAAAAAGCAAAACATTTTAAATCACCATTTAAAGAAATAGACATATAAGTATACCTTGAAGGACGTGATCCTGCCCCTCTATTCTGCTCTCGTGAGACCTCACTTGGGAGTATTGTGTACAGTTCTAGTGTCCTCAACATAAAAAGGACATGGAACTGTTGGAACAAGTCCAGAGGAGGCCACGAGGATGCTCAGGGGACTGGAGCACCTCCTGTATGAAGATCGGCTGAGAAAGTTGGGGCTGTTCATCCTGGAGAATAGAAGGCTGCGTGGAGACCTCATAGCAGCCTTCCAGTATCTGAAGGGGGCCTATAGGGGTGCTGGGGAGGGACTCTTCATTAGGGACTGTAGTGGTAGGACAAGGGGTAATGGGTTAAAACTTAAACAGGGGAAGTTTAGATTGGCTATAAGGAGGAAGTTCTTTCCTGTTAGGGTGGTGAGGCACTGGAATAGGTTGCCCAGGGAGGTTGTGAATGCTCCATCCCTGGCAGTGTTCAAGGCCAGGTTAGATGAGGCCTTGGGTAATATGGTTTAGAGCGAGGTGTCCCTGCCCATGGCAGGGGGGTTGGAGCTTGAGATCTTGAGGTCCTTTCCAACCCTAACTATTCTATGATTCTATGATTCTATGATTCTAAGTATCTGTGCACACAGCACTAACCTGTTTCCAAGCCACCACTGAGAATAATCTTCAAAACCAAGTCCATTTAAGCACACTATGTACAAATTGACTCGACTTCCAGTATTCAAAATGTAAAACTAAGACCATTTCAGAGTTACACAAGCTAAGAAGGAACTTACTTAAACATAAATGTTGAATATCAACTTGAAGCCTTTCAAATACAGAATGTCTCCTTTGATGTTTTCCATCCACCTGTGTAAACAGAACAAGATTGTTTCGTAGGGCTGGCCACTAGTCATTATCATAGCTGTTAATGCCAGACTTTTTTCCTGGCAAGTCAACATCTGCACATTTCCAACATTATACACCCACAGTTCTTCCTAATATGTCTGCTTTTGGCAAAGTATGGAATGTAGGCAATCACACTTCCAAAGCTTTTTCAATGTAAAGGCTTTACCTTGGTTTTGAAGCTAAAAAGCAAATACTAACAGCTTCAATGAAAACAGTTTAAAAATGATACCCTGCTAGTGTGACAATCTTCTCGTACCTTAAATCGTGTAGTTGCCCTTTCCACAAGCAAAAACTGAACATTTTCAACATTCTGCAAGGCAACATCAACCCAATGGGAGAGCTTTCCTCGACCAGCTCCAAACTCAACAAAACATCTTCCTGGACCAAGTAAATGTAATTGTTCCATGTTACCTAAAATAGAAGCCTACAAACATCAAAATATTATTTATGAACCAAGCAAATACACACAGTGAATATTGTAACGCCTGGTAGAAAATGATTACTTCACCAAACTGCAGGAGACTTTTTCAGGTCTTCCTTTCCATGAGGGATTAAGGGAAAGATCTTGTGTACAGAGGAAAGGGATTGTAATTTCTGACTAGTCAGCATTTCTCTGCCCTTCTTCCACTGCTCACAGAACCCCACCCAGATGGAATGGATTTTCAGGATCAGGTACACATCATAATATTCTTCTCTGCTGATCTTGAAGGAGCCATCTAAAACACAGGCACCAGACGGGATTGTCTGGGAAGCCTCTGTGCCCACAGAGTGCTCTCTGCTGCACTTATGCATTTTGATATACATAGGAAAGTAGAGAGTGGGAAGAAAGTACGGGAAATGGACATTTCTCACTTGTAACCTTCTTCTTTCCTAACCTTTGTTTTGCTGCAGTATGCAATCCATGTCCCTTAACACTCCTGCTGTTCAATATACACTAACAATGCAGAAGGTAAACTCGGGCTCACCAACTCTTACAAACTTCTTAGCAAACATAATGGTTTCCTTTTTGGAGCTCAGATTTATTGAGCTAATGTAAAATAAGAATATATAAGTAAAAATTCTGAATATCATCACACAATTTATCATCTCAGTATCCCAACAAACTTCTGTTACTAACACGTAACAAAGCAGCCATTCCATGGTTATATATATATGCTATCATTTGAAGAGCATAGTTATACGGTATACCAGATTTCCTTTATGTGGAGTGACCAGCATTATGAATGCAGTCACTCAAATTTACATCAGCAGAATTCCACATGTTTAAAAGTATCTATAGCTCTCAGTAAAGCAGTGTCCATACCTGTTGTTTCAAGTGTTTGAAAGCAGCTTCCCCATTCTTTGGGTCATTTAAGGCTTCTTGTAAAGCCTGGTGGGACAGTATTTGTTCCTTAAGGTGAAATTCCAGGCCTGCATGCAAATGCAAAGCTTTTAGGTAAAGTTTTCCAGTTTCCAAGAGTTTCTGGTTTTGTAACATACTCAGATACGAATTCAATCTGTAGCACTAACGAAAACAGTTTGTTGGGAGCATAAATCTATCATGTATGTTTATTAGAGTTGTGTTGTTAACTGTATGTGATGGGAAACAAAAAACATAAAAGGAACAGAAAAAAATGACTGCTACTGCTGAACCCAGGACAGCTATCTAACAAAGATCA